TTTCCTGTCAGGCGACCTGACCTTAACTATGTTACGTTAGTCACGTGGCCTACGTCACATTACATTAAATACACGATTAACGTTGTGAAATGGTCGCAGTTCGGTCACATTCAAGGGGGAAATCCAGAGTTCGAACAGTGAAGCCGATCAAAGCCTGCATGGAAGGTTCCATGTAGGCCCAAAAATGACGTCAAGAACCTGCGACATCCCGTCGTACATGACATAGTAGCACTATTTAAACTTAGTTAAAATAACTCAACATTTACTTGGTTTCAAAGCTCGACAACAATGACAAACATAGATAACTATTGGTGTAGTGCTGAGAGAAGAGAAGGGACTGAGGGTAGACAGGGATGTAGCGTTACTGTATTGCATTTTGTAACTATTTCTGAACAGGAGTCTGGGGTGAGCTCACCTTTAGGCATACATCATGAGCAAGAGTTGACAGTGTTTGTGTAATTTCTCTCACTGCCAGAAGGAAAGACAAAGCTTCCGCACAGCAGATTTATATGAAAGGTTTGTTTACTCATTTAGATGCTAATTATATACACATTTAATAAGTTAAGTTGTATATTTGGTGTCTTTCTTGGCTCAATAAAGTTAACACAGGTGATCTTGTTAGAATATCAACTAACATTTCCCAGCAAGATCTTTAGGCTTCAGTTCATACAAACAACCAAAGCATGTGAGACTGGACACTGGCATATGGCTGAAAGATCTTCAAACTACATCTAAATTAACCTTTTAGTTAAGGATAAAAGGAAATCCATCTTTCTGATGTATGCATGAGGACTTTCAATCAGGCTAATTACAGTCCAGACAAATACAGATGAGAGCAAGACATCTGGATTTATTCCAGTGAGTAATCAAGCAAAGCATCTAGCAATAGCCTACATCAAAACATGAAATCACGAGGATGTGTCTGTTTCAGGCCTATAATTCACCATCTGTCCTTATCTGCAACTGGTGAAAATGAGCACCCTGTGATTCTTGTGGAGTTTTGTTTTCAATCTACTGAGGATATCATGATTTCTAGATTTGAGTATTGGAAATTTCACTGCATACATCTTGCTAAGCACTTACTAAGCACATGTTTCCCTATACATATACATAGGCTAGATGACAAACAACTCCCCCTTCCCATGAGTTGCTGTGATGGATAATCCATGCTGTTTTAGGCCCATTACCTTGACTGAGGCCTGGCTATTTCCATGACAACGAGTTACTGTATCTCTGTCAAAATCGGTCCAGCCTCTGAGCTAATGGGTTTTTATTATATGACTGACAATGTTGAGTAATTTTCTCTGCTTTGGGCTGATGATCTCCCTTGATTCTGTCCCCCCCCCCCAAAACCCAAATCTGCAGTCACAAACGCTATCAGGATGGAACGGACTCAGTCCTCCTGGATACATTATCATTGGCGATTAGATTTCTCTGCTCATCGCTGCATCGTCATATTACAACATCAAATCTCATAATCTTATCATCTTAAGCGAGATTGCTATGGCTCAAGAAACAAACTACACACACAAACTATGAAACAAAAAAATCTCATTAGAGAAATGCAACACTATATGGTTGTCAGACGGCACAAAAGATGCTTTTCCATCTCACAATTTCTATGAAGCTCCTGAATATTTTTATGACATGTAAAAAAAACATGCCCTCCAAAGCACGGTGAATCTAGTGCCATCATCAGGACAACATTGAACAAAATGAATGACACTCCCATCAGCCTCAGCTGTACTAAATAATTACAGAATGCTAGCAAGCTAACATTCTGTACACCTGCTAAACATTAGCATGTTTGCACTGAAACTGAGAACATGTTAGCATCCTGATGTTAGCATTTAGCTCAGGGCACTGCTGTTCCTACAGCCTCACAGAGCAATGTGGTTCCAGATTCTTGTTTTCTTGTTGAAGGTTTCACTGATTGCCATCTTGATGATTATTTGGAAATCTCTTGATGTAAATTAAATCCAAAGCATGGCCTTTTCCCTCTCTCACAGCTTATAGACAGAAAAGATGAAACAACTCACTAAATGAAAGCCAGTTAAGTACTTAATTTATTTTTTAACAATGGAGATATTTGAAGAGAAGAAAACAATACTGAAATGCCTTTGGAGTTTTTGGCAATATCCTTTACAAGCCTGTCTCGCACGGTCTCACATAAAACAGATAGTGGTGAGTCAGACTGAGCTCAAAACGTAGTCACAGCAAAATAACATGAAATACGGTCAACTTCAAAAAGGACAAAGGATAAAGGACTACATCCTATCCAATAACATCACTAACTAACATCTTTGTCTGTGAAGATAAAGATAGATTCTCAGTCATCCAGGTCATAGTTATCCAAGGAATGTTATATCAAGGGCAACTGGACTTGGTAGAAGATACTTGACGACGTTTCGCCTCTCATCCAAGAGGCGGATAAGAGGTGAAACGTCTTCCAGTTGCCCTTGATTTTAAAACCCTCCTTGGACTATGTAAATTACAGTACCATAGAGATGAATCAACTCTCACTTCACCATCATAAGCTTTACTCAAGTAGTATTTGTTGTAAAGCTTTTGGTACTGGATTACATTAAATTGTGCAGGCTCTGTTGGTGTTCATCCCCTGTATATGACAGATAAAAGTGTTTTTATTTGATTTTTGTAAGACACAGATCTCCATTAGGTTAATTTAAAAGTGCATTTGAGGTCACCTGGAGTTTCATCTCTGAGAGCTGCTCTCAGTAGGACTTCACTTTCAAAGTCCTGGAAGTTTAGTAACATTGATGCACTGAGATGACATCCGTAACAGCATTAATAAATTTAATTCCATGGCTCAAAGACACAGCGAGATAGCTTCTTTAGCGGAGGGAGCTGTGGAAATTATTTATGATAATATCACTTTGGAACATTTTTAACAGAGACAAAAAAAGGAAAATGAACAAATTATTACAAGGCCCGTGGGATATTTATTTGATGTGTACACAAAAGATTTACAATAGCAAGCAGCAATTTCTTTATTAGAAAGCCTTTTTAAACTTTGATCTCTGTTGTCCAATTACCTCTAACTGTATAATGGGCATTCCTACTAAGGACTATGGATATTCCTCTTGATAAAAAAACTCTTGCCTCTAGGGCTCATATGCAGTTTGTTTTAAACAATCGTCTTTCTTTCACTTTTCTCAAAAGTGAAGGTAGGTTTAATATTTCTGAGCAGAAAATATTGATTCCAGTAGATGTAATTTTGAAGACAGCAGCAGCATCACCTCAAAATTAAGAGAAAACTTTGTAAAAACAAAAGTGTTCAGATTCTTTATCAAGCCCCTTGGCACAGACATGTAAAAGGCCACCTGCTGAACTGATTAAATCAACAAACACAAATATTATATTGGATTTGATTGACAGATACCCATTATGTCAGACTGTAAGAAGAAAATGTGATCAGGACATCCCTACGTTTAAATAAGCACTGTGACATACAAGAATACATATTTATGGAGCTGCTGCGGTGTCTTAGGACAGTAAACTATCCATGGATGCACTAGCATGTAGTGTTTTAAGGTTTTTAAGCTGGTCAATGAGGAGGTAAAATTAATGATTTTATGCATGGTAGTAAGATGAGTAGATGTGAATACAGTCAACCATGGAGCAGGTTTAGCATAACATAATATACTGTATTAAATGTGTGCTAATTTGCAAAAAAGGGGGACCATACAGCCTTTTGCTTCAGTGGCAGTTAAAAGCTTTCTGTCTGACAGTGTGCACCTAATCAATTAAGGGTCAAAGCCCTCCAAATGTAACTTAGCACTTACATTGTTAGGAGGCTTGTGAACACTGTGATGCATATTGTCCGATGACTGTGAATAGTAAGACTTTTTGGACTGAGAGTGTAGTAGACATACGGGGACACTGAATGGATTATGTCCCTGCACTGCCTGAGAAATGTCTGCACCTCTCCCTCAACGAAGGTGACCTTGAGCAAGGCGCTGAAACTAGCCTGCCTGCTGGTTGCAGGTATTGTGCATCAATACAGCTGCTTTTATCTAGATCAAACAGACATAACGTGCAAATAAACATCACTTTATGTCTGTGGTAATAGCAAGGGTATGTTTTTGTGAAACTTTAATGTTTTTAACGGAATAATCACAATTGTTGCCAAATACGTATTTGCAGTTTATAGCATTATAAAACATGTTGTTGCCGATGGAATATGTGTTTGGTAGGCATAGGATGACTAATATCCTTGTATACATCTGGAAAACGGAATGTAGCCTATAATTAACATAACTTACTGCTGAGTTATATAAAAATAAAGACATGATCACTTTTGCATTTATCCTTATGACTCTTATGATTATTTAAATTGCAATATACCAACCAATCCAGTCCTTTTTACCTGTTGAAATACCTTTAAGTGGCCAATTCAAATGCAGTATTTCACTTGCCATAAAGTGATTGAAGCCTCTATACTGTATATTTATTGACTGAAAGGTATAATTCTGCCACAAAATGAATTGATTTCATTCAGAAGTTATATTTGACAGATTATAACTCAACTATACGTTTTTACCTCTTAAAATACCTTTAAATGGCCAAAACAACACATAAAACTTGCCAGGAAGTGATTGCAGCACGGTAGCCTAGTTTCTGCCTCAAAATGACTTGATTTCATTCAGAAGATTTGTATTTGACATATTATAAAGCCGAAATTGTCCCCCTCATATTAACATTATATTTTTTAATGGGACACCACTAAACCAAAAATGTCCCCGGTTTTCATTTCAGAAATCTGGTCACCTTATAAAACAATGAACAGAGTGGTGCAGTTAAACGAGGTTGCCCTTTAGCCGCAGAGAGGGCAAATCATCATTTTCTGTTACTTGAGATCTTAAAATCAAGCGCGTTTATTTAACCCTCCCTGCAGTGAACCACGAGCTACTAATCATGCACGGACGTGCACCAACGTGCTTCTTTATAGCTCACATTTCTTCCCGGACCGAAAGCTGCATTCCGCCCCACCCCTTACAAACAACACCATCATCACTGTACCAAAATCAGGAAGCACCGAGACACGTTAATTTTTTTATTTTATTTTACGGAGACACTTTGGTGATTACAGCAAACGGCGAACCATAGAGGGGAAAAGGCGTTATTGTGACCACCGTCGACCACTGCTGAAAGAAGACTCTCAGTTGGTTACATCCAGTGCAAGGATCAGCTGTGGATGCATTTGACACAGACTAACCGGAGAAGGGTATGTGCACAGTCGTACTGGTAAAATTCACAAAAAGAAATGCTGGGGCGAGAACGCCACTGTAAATACAGTTGCACACATGTGGTGGATACGTTACTATCGCCTTACTGCTTATTTTCGACCGCTGAGTACGTGGTGTAACGATAGTAAACATGTTATCCACGTCGAGTTGTTTACAGTGCGTAACAGCCGTAAAGCAACCTGCAGGGGAAGTAGGCTCGAAATGTCATTTTCGTGCTCGTCTGAGTCTGTCTAACTCACTGTGACCATACGTAGCAAGTTTAGTTTAATAAACATCACTGCCACCAGACAGTGTCACTGCCTTGTCATGCGCTTTGACAGTCACCCCCCCACCACACACACACACACACACACACACACACACACACACACACATCCACTGCTACAACCATCACCCTCCCTCCTGCATTCTCTCTCGTTGAACCAATAACAGTTCACGTAGGCTATATCTAGTAATTTAACGCTACTTTGTGGCAATGTAACATGGCGTTGAATAACACTCAAGGCGTGATGTCAATCACGAGGTGGTTCTCTTCAATTCGCATACTATAGCGAGCCAAGCAGGACTTCAACCCCATAAGATTAAGAGTTTTGTAATTGCGCCACAGTGTTTGGAAATCTTAGTGTGTTTGGGGAGCAGTGTACCGTTGGATCAACAGGGAAACCCCTTTTTAGTTTAAATTTAATTCAGTGTGCATATTGAGGTGGATCATATATGCCGAATGTACCAGAAGGTCATAACGATTATTTAACGTTATAAATCATTTTATATGAGGCATGGCAATATGCACAAAAGCCTGTCACCTTTTATATAGGAAGATATTCAGTTGAGTTTTGCGCTTGTACTTCAAGGGTTTACGAGAAGGGAACATGTCAGTTCCAGCTTCCTGCCAGCTGTGTTAGTGCTTTGGTTAAGTGTTGTTTGTTAATATGTATTAGGTATTCCAATCACTTCAGTTTGTTTGTATGACATTTTGGCAAACCGAAATCCCTCTTAACTGTGACCACATTAATACATATACACAAACCTGTTGCAGTGTGACATTTAAATGGTCAATGCGCTTGAAACTCACTTCACATACAACTGTTCGACTTCACATACAACTGTTCGACTTTAACTTGGCATTGGAGAGGCTTAATTATCATTGCAATCACAATTTTTATTACTAGTCAAAAGTAAAAAGATGTGTTTAATGAATGCAGTCTTTTAAAATGATATTAAAAGATTTTAGTATTAATATTTATAGGTTTAAATGCATTGTTTTGTCTTGGCCACTGGAAATACTGGCCAGTTGGCTTTCAGGAGACTAAAACATACACTGTAAAGTCTGGAGGAAATTAAGAATTACATCACTCTGCATCCTAAGCGAGGACTGGTCTTCAGCAAGCTCCACTTGTTACTCGACTTTACATAAAAGCAGTGATGGCCTTTAACAGAAACCATACATATTGGCATTAACTGAGCAGAACAGCTGTTCACCACTGCACTACACCTGAGAAAGAGCAGATGTAATAGCAGCATACCACGCTATGATAAGGCTTTGGCAGTGATTTTTACTGTCAGATAATATAAAGAAAGAGAGTGTGTCTCAAGTAGTGACATGCTCTCTTGCTGTCGCTGCTACACACTGTCTATAAATAAAGTACTCACGCACGAGTGGCTTCTTATGTTTGAACTGCACTGATTTACTAAAGCCTGCAGCCCTAAATGTATTCAAGCCAGGGAACACTCAGTAATGTAGCCTCTGGTTCACTTTGATGCAAACTACGTGGTAGGTTTAATCCTCACCTTTTCTCATCTTCCTTTAGTTGATGAAGGCAGAACACAAAGCATATCATGTAAATCAGCTGCACCGTGTAACTCGAATGTCATGCTGCCATGGTCCCACATTGCCAGACAACATGATTGTATAAATGTTTCATTTTTTGGGATTTTGTAGAATGTCACGGATTACTAATCAGACAGAAAAGCTTGAACTGAAATATACATAGCAGGATGCCAGCAGTTGCAGCTTAACCTCCACATAGTTTAACGAAAAGCTTCAGTTTGCCCATGACTACCTGGGCTGGGAAGGCCGCAGGGATGCATTCCTTTGCATTCTTTTGCATTTCACAGGATTTGCCCAAGCTCAGCCAGCAGAGAAAATACCAAGAGGTTTGCTCAGCCAACACGTGCGTCACTTTGCATTCCTTTGTCGTCATGAAAAAGACAAGCTTATATCAGCAGGCCTTATGGGAAGTTTTGCAGAAGCTTTCCCTAAATGAAAAGTTAGGTGTTTTGCTACAAGTTTCCATACTAAGTGAGGCTTTCCATCCTGCTCACTAAGTGTGTGTGTGACTGCACGCTATATCTGTTTTTTGCAGGTGATACTTTGAGGTTAGTCAACTTCCGTCCTCACAGACTCACAAACTTCCTCTCTTTTCTCATATCCCCTCCTTTCTGCGCCTGTTCTTGGCAGACAGGTTGAGTCACATTACCTGCTATATGACCGCCGCCTATGTAAAAACGCAATAGTTTTGTTGATTTTGGCCAAGGTGTGGTGCTGCCAGTCCGCTCAGGGCCTATACACACTGATGGCATATACTGTCATCTGCTGTGACATCACAGCCTGCAGTGTGTCAGCTCCTCACAGTCACCAGAACAGATGGTAGAGTTGAATATTTTGCCTCCACATCCAAATCGAGGTGTTGTAACTTGGATTATTAGATAGCAAAACCCAAGGTGGCAGCAGTTGTGTATCCCCCACTGAAGAGCATTGAGCTTACACTTTAGGCCCCAGGGAGTGACAAGAGGTGACCATGCATAACAAAGCAAAACAAATATATGCTTGAATTAACAATGCAATAGCTATACACTGCAATGGACTCATGGGAGTATTGCTTTTCCGCTAGTCTAATATTCCCTCAGAGCCATATGGGCGGTTTTGAGAGGAAAGCCTCACAGCAGTCTTCTCAGAAATGTAAAAAAAAGTTGTGCAGAAACAGCTGTATATCTTGTATGTACACTCACCCCATCCTGCAAAGCAACATCAGAGTGTGTGTGGAAGAGAGAGATGCAATGTGTCGTATGTGATACTTCAAAGAAAGGACCAATCATTTGGTTAGATCACCGAACCAAGGCAGTTATCTTAATGTTAAGAAGCAGGAGGCTAAGCTGCTAATCATGTCTGAAATGGCTTTTTGTTGGGTTATTTATTTGTTGTACACAGTGAATGCAATTACTATATTGGTTTTTGTCTGTATGTGTTTGATTTGGCGGCAAATGAGTTTCCCCACTGGGGTTTAATAATGCTGTCTAATCTGACGGCAGCTCGTCTGATGTTTCAGACGGGCAGCTGGAGCCCACAGGCAAACATTGCTTCTCTCAGTGGTTCAGCCAGACGCACACGACTGACTGGCCACTGAGCTGACAAAACTCTGACTTCTCTTAATGCCTGGCCCCACATACAACTGTCCTCACTTATTCACAGGGTTGAGCTCAAACCAAACCAGACAGCATTGTTATCTAGGAGGAGTGGTGGTAGTCATGACAATTATTTATTAACCGGTGGTGGACATATTTGTGGACCACATTTTAAAAACACTGAAATGCTACTTAAAAAGTATGTACTTTTAATCATTAAAATGTACTTAATGAATTACAAATGAAAGTACTCAAAGAAGAAAAATGTCCCCTGTGACTATTATACTATCAGATTGTTATTAATTATACCTTAATGTAAAGGCAGGATTTTACTGTTGTAGTTGGATGCAACTAGAGCTGGTCCGAATGTAATTTTTTGAGCTTCGACGCTTCGATAGTAGTTAAGAGCGAATAATCGAAGCTTCGCCCCCCCCCCCCCTTAGATAGAATGCTTGACCTACTTAATTACTTTCCACCACTGTAACAGCAGTGATGAGTGTCAGTGCAGGGCTTAATCCATTAGTTAGGAGCTTGCCATATGCCAACCAGCATAACAGTCCTCTGGTTGTGTGATTCCAGTGAATGAATGGAAAATCATTCTAGAAACGTGGGATACAGCTTTGTGTTTTTGTCCTTTCTGTGGTGTTTACGTGTTGTTGTTTTTTGCATTGTCCAAAACCTTTTTTGTCTCCCTCCTGCTAGTGGTTGTTAAAAGCCTTCTTACAAATATGTTGACCCATCAGAACAAATCGACAGTTAGCTAAGCCCCACCCTCCTGAGTCACTGCTGCTACATATGTGTTCTTGTATTGCAGCTATTTACTCCTAACACTAGAAGTGTGATAACAAAATTAGTAAGTAAGGCTGTGTTCAGGCCGATAATAGCCCTCTGTGAAAAAAACACAGACCTCTCATTCATTTGAACTGGGCCAGTCCGTTGGTGCCATCGTATGGTGCTCTGGCAAAACAACCCATGGGTGTCCGTAAAAAAAAATTTAACCTGGCTCAGTTTTTGCTGCAACGCATAGTTGGCCTATCACATATATGCAAGTGCACATTCCTGGTGGACAGGAATGCCGTATTTCTAGTATATACCTTGCGATTATTGCAACCAAAGAGAACCTAACTGCAGCTGTGATAACTTTCCAGAGCTGTAAAATCCTGTTTATCACAAATATTTATCACAAATCATAGTGCAGTGTTTTGATGTCTGATAAGTCTTTAAACGCACAAATCTTTTCCTCAACATAGACTTCCTGAATTGTATTTTATTGTCTCACTTATATCATTTGGAAATTTCTTTGGCTGCTTATTTAGCGGATGTGCTTGTTGTGAACGGGCCTTTTTTTATATATAACCTGTAACCCTACAAACTAATGATGTTAGTTAATGATGTGCTCTAGGGTAATAAGCTAGTTAGTTGTCGTTGTAGGTAGTAAGCTACTTAGCTGGACATGCTAACAATAGCAAGTTATATTAGAGCAGATAAATACATGATTTAATGCATTCCTTACACTTGGCTTTTGTAATTTTGGTTTTGGTAAATGCCCAGAAAAAAAGACACAATTCTCCAAACT